CGCCACCCTCTGCCCCCCCCCCCCGCCCTTTTCCTCATTGTCTCCACTTGGCCCCCTGGCATTTGTCTCTCCTTCACCCTGTTCCTTGGTGCTTTCCCCTTTCTTCTCCTGACCTGCCCCCCTCCCCTCAGCACAGGCCTCTTCCTCTCCGACCCCTGCCTGTTTTCCCCCTCTCCCTTTCCTTTTCCCTTACCTTAGGCTAAGCTGGCTTCTGCCTTCCAGCTTTCCGGGCTAGAGTCACAGCTAGCCCAAACTACAGGCCGGCCGGGCTCTAGCCTGGGGTGCCTCACTTTAAGGGGCACCACGCAGTGCTGCCGGGCCGGGCGGGGTCAAGAACGAGGCCCTGGGTGCAGAAGGGGCGCTGCGCAGTGCAGCCAGGCTGGGCCAGGTGGGGGCACCCCCAGGCGCAGAGGGGGGGCTGTGCAGTGCTGCTGGGATGGACGGGGACGGGGCCAGAGGGCAGAAGGGGTGCCACGCGTTGCTGTCGGGCTGGGGCCAGGGCTGGGGTTGGGGCTGCGGCCCCAGTGGCAGAAGGGGCACTGCACGGTGCTGCCGGGCCAGGGCCGAGGCTGGGGCTGGAACCCCAACCCCAGGCGCAGAAGGGGTGCCGGGCCGGGCGGGGCTCGGGGCGAAAAAATGGCTCGGGCTGGCATCTTTGGTCCGGCCCCAGCTGCTTCCGCTGCGCACGTGCGCTCTCTTCTCCAAAGTGCCCTGTAGATGTTCACGGGGAAAGTGACGGGCTATGGTACCCCGTCTCAAATCCTCCTCCTCCTCCTCCAGCAGCTGCTAGCCAGCCTGAGACATTAGGGTGTGCCTGGGCACGCCCGGCACACCCTCTGCGCATGCTTATGGCTGACTTTATGGCACACTAGTAGTTTTCACTACCCCAGACATTGGAAGAAGGCACAAAAATGGAAAGTGTAAGTTTATTAACATGTCTAATGAAAGAAATGGGGACTGAACAGTTCCTTACAAAATTACCATCAGGGACTGGTCCAGGGCCATTCTCAAGAAGACTCCAAGGCTACGTCTACACTTCATGATTATTTTGGAGTAAGCTGTTCTGGAAGAAATACTCCGAATTAGCTTATTTTGAAATAGCACGTCTACATGCCAAATGCCCATAGAAACAGTGCTGAGCTATTTTGAAATAGAGCGTCCACTCTCATTGGATTCTGAGCTGCATTTAAAGCCACCCAGGAGCACTTCAGGCAGGGCATCAGAACAGCACTCACTTCCCATGGCTGAGGCTAAGGCTATTTGAGGCTCTTGCTTAAAGGGACCCCCCTCCCCACCCTGTACAGCTGTGTGTCAGGCTCTTCTCTTTTGCTTACCTCCTTGAGGGACAGCAAAACCCATTCCTTTGCCTGCGAGCCGGAGCTGACTCAGGGCAGTCAATGGCTATTACATCTAATACTGCGCCTCATGCAGCAGTTTCTGGAGTCTGCCTCCCAGGGCCTGCAGGAACCCAACCCCCTGCTCATCTTGGAGACCCTCATCACTTCTCTACAGGCATGGCTCATGCTGCTGGATCTCGCCCACTGTCCCCTGCGCACCGTGAACCACCACTTCTGGGGTCTGGACACCAGTTCCAACTGGTGGTACCTGCTTGTCATGGAGTGGTGGGGCGACCAGCAGTGGCTCCAGAATTTCCGGATGAGCAAGGACTCATCTCTGGAGCTGTGTGACTCAGGCAATGGGACAGTCACATGAGACCCGCCTTCCCCCTCCAGAAGCAGGTCACCATTGCTCTCTAGAAGCTCACCATGCTGGACAGCTGCCGATCCATTGGGAACTAGTTCATCGTGGGGAGATCAACGATTAGGGCCCTGTTCATGCAGGTATGGTGCTCTTTTCCCAGGAGGGTGGTGGACTGCTGGAATGGGGTTCCCTAAGGAAAGTGGGAGTTGGTGATGATGGTGATGGAAGCCCCCTCCCTGGGAGGTTTTTCAATGCTGCCCTCACAAAGCCCTGCCGGGGGATGGGGTAAGTGGGGAGTTGCTCCTGCTGGAGGGAGAGGGGGGCTTGGGGACCTCCCAAGGGCTCTGGCAATCCTGTGATTCTCTGTCTCCTTCTGCAGGTGGTGAGGACCATCAACACCATCCTGCTGCCCAGGGACATCAACCTTGGTGATGTGGACGCCATCATCACCAGCTTTGCCAACATGGGCATCCCCAACTGTGGGGAGGGGGCGTTATTGACAGCACCCATATCCCCAAATCCCCATCCAGGCTCCTAACTCCCGGGCATCTACATACACCAACTAGAAGGGCTACTTCTTGATGGTCCTGCTGGCCATCACGGACCACCACAGCCAGTTCACAGACACCTACATGGGATGATCAGGGAAAGCGCACAATGCCCACATCTTCTGTACCTTGCCCCCTCCCCTGCAGAGACAATAAACCACACTTTTTGTTTTGGAAAAAATAAGCTCTTTGCTTTTTTTATTTGGGATCAAAGTAACTGGGGAGGGACTGGTTAAAGAACCACGGAGGGGGGAGAAGAGGAGGGGAGGAGAGGCTTAGGGCTGAGGTTGGGAGTGGCACCTGGCTCTGGTGATCCCACCATCATGGGTGCAGGGGCCTCGGTGGCCGTGGGTAAGAGGGTTGGGGGAGAAACGGAAGGAGCAGGAGCAGGCAGCATGCTGACGATCAAGGACTGAACTGCTGTGCACCAGGTATGGCCCTGCTCCAGCATTAGCTATGGCGAGACACCTGGCAAGAGGATGTCTTCCTGCAGTTTCGGGTCCAGGATCTGCTCCAGGGATCGGAGTGTTGCGAGGTGCTCCCACTGGAACTTGTCCCTGGGTCTCCTGAGCTGGCAGGTCCCTCAGGCTTGGGATGCTGCTATGGGTGGTGTCAACTGCCCCTCTGTCGCAGCTGGTCTGGCTGTGGAGAATAGAGACACAGTCAGTCATCCCTGGAGACACTGTGCCTAAAGCCTAGCACTCATCTCTGAGGTGAGACCTAATGGTGCCGGTTGAGACAAAGGCAATGTGCCTGGAGCAAGGGCATGTGTGACCTAGCCAGTGGGCCCTTTCCTGCAGGGGCCCAAATGTCCAACCGGGGAGCTTCACTACCCCCACGTCCCAAGGACAAGTAGGCATGTGCAGGCAGGAGGGGGCCATGGGGCAGCTGGGCTTCCCTCTGTGCCACGCACATGCTGGGTCCAGAAGAGGCGGCGTCCCTCAGGAAGTTGCCTGCTGGGGGAGAGGGAGGCAGGGTGTTGAGGGGAAGTGTGTGAGAGCAGCAGACACTCCTGCACCTCGCTGTGCTGTCCCCGGAGTGAATGCTGCCCTGAGAGTGTGGGCATGTCCATGTGCCATGTGCAGCACTGTTGAGTGTGTGTGTGGCTCCATGTTCCCAGCCTCCTTCTTGTGCCGGGAGGGTGTCCCACCCTGGTGTCGGGAGAGTGGCAGGCCTCTCCAGACACCCTGTGGCCAATAGCACAAGAGTCCTTTGTTGCAGCCTCGTGAGGCTATGTACCCCAGACTGTTGCTCCACGTGATCCCACATGCACAGGCTGCTATGTGATCCCCAGTCTGCAAAGGCAGAGTGAGAGGCACGCAGCTGTTCCTTGCCACCTGTCACCTCCACCCAGTGTGTGAAGGGAACATGATGGCACTCACCTGACGTGGCTTCCCCAGCCTCTGATGATACCTGGGACACATCCAGATCATGGGGTACCAGCTCCAGGGTCAGGAGGGTTATTGTGCTGGCCTTCTCTGCGTGTCTGCCCCCTGTTAGAGTGATGCTGGGTGTCTCAAGCCCTGAGTCCACTACTGGGGGTAGGAAAAGGATTGCCCTGCTCCCTAATATGTGGTGCAGGTCCTCATAATAGGTGTGGATGTGCCCCTCGGTGTCCAGGCTTTCAGCCATGTAGCTATAGACATTGGCATTCTGGCATTTGGGGTGGAGATCCTGGAGGTTGGTCTCGTTGTACCAAACCTCAATAAGGTCCGTGATCTCTGCACCAGACCAGGAAGATGCACGTCTTTTCCGTCCCCGGGCAGGGTCCTGGGAGTTGGAAGACTGCTCACTGAGAGCAGTGGAGGGCTGGGTGGGAGCAGCAGAGTCACTTATTTTGAGCTTACTCAAAGTTGTGGTAGCTGCTGGGTGGCTCAGGGCTGTCTGGGCCTGCTGTCTGACATGAGCCCTTTCTCCTGAGGCTGCAGCTTTAAGAGGTCCAGGGGAAGGGGGGGGACTACAGAGTTTTGATGTGTGGGGACAGAGCAGCCAGCAGGGCACTATGGGAGGGGCTGGAGGCCAATTATTTTGAAATAACTCCAGCCGCCCTGTCCACACAGGCACTATTCTGAAATAGCTATTTTGGAAGAGGTATTATTCCTCGTGGAATGAGGTTTACAAATGCCAAAATAAGCCACCCGTTATTCTGAAATTATTTTGAAATAATGGGCTAGCTGTGTAGACACTTGTCTAGTTATTTCAGAATCTTCAACAAACCTTAACACCAAACCAAACAATGATCTTGATTCAGCTTCTTGGACACTGAAAGGCAGCTAAATAAACAGGCCACCATGGGGACTGCCAGTTTCCTGACCCCAAATACTAACAAGCCAAATCCCCAGACCCTTATGAAGTCTAGCACCTGATCCAAGCATATATCTCCCTGGAACCAATGAGGGTAGTGAAAGGCTGGGTGCTTGTATTATACCCAGCTGGTCAGGAGCTGGTAGCGTCTCCCTGCAACCCCTGAACCAGCCAGAGGAGTGAGAAGCTTGGATTCTTCTTCCTCTGACCATGGGCTCGAGAGGTCAACGCCCCACCCTAACGGGCGGTGGAAATGCCCAGAACGTGAGCGCTCAAAAACTGATAACTGCTTGGCTGGTAACTGCTTGGCTTACTGAGACTGCTCTCTGCTGTGTACTCTGTCACAGGATATGTGGTAAGATGGTAGCTTCACACACCATTTTCTCAGTGGCCTACCCCCAGTGTCTGTGGTATCTGCTGTACATGACACACACCATCCCCACACATGAGAAATACACTAACTCATTTTTCTGTAAAAGTACAAACAATTGGGATGGGAGGGAGCATAACATGCACCAAAGAAGGCCCAGACGACACAGAGTGTTTAACTTGCTGGGTGTTAAACCAGTCCCCTGCTGTATCTGACCCACACAGGGTTTGAGTCTGTCAGCTCCCCTGCTCAAAACTTTAGTTCAGCTGCCTCAGCTTGGGCTGTTAGCTCTGGAGGTCCTTGGTTCAATTCATGGTTTGCAGGCCAAGTATTTTCTTCAAGGCACTTTGTGTAGCCAAGCCCTAGCTTTCCCCTTTAGAGTTTAGTCCCACCTAGGCTGAGAGAGGTGCTCCCAGATGCAGTATAGACAGGCCCAGTAAGGCTTGTTCCTCCAACCCTTTATCATAGGGGGTAAATATCAGGCAACCAGTTTGGGGAATTAATCTGACTTGTAAGTTGTCCACGTGGGTACACGACTAAGGGCTGGAGGATCATGCCATTGCTCTGTATTCTATTTTGTATTTTCTTGTTCTCATGTGCATAAAAGCCTACAAGCTCCTGTAGACAGTGTTGTTTGCTCCATTGGAATTTTCCCTCCTAGTTGCAAGATGTTCAGCTAAAGAAGACCCTGGCATCCAGAGAGGAGTCTCTGAAAGAAATGGACAGTTTAAGGTAACATTGGTTCATATATGGCTCACTTCCTCTCTTTAGAAACAACATGGCTTAGCAGCATCATATTACCATTTTCTGTTTCCTATTCCATTTCCTTTTAGATGCCTGTTGAAAAAGCATTGATTAGGCTTGCAGCATTGTTCATAATAATTAAGGGGCATGTGGTTAAAGATCTCTTGGAATTTTGTGTAGCAAATGTACATGCAGTGGATAGTTATCACATTTGGCTGCACAATGCATTAGGTGCCTAACTGCATGAAGAGATACCTGATCTTGAGTCACAGTTTCATGCAATTCACATAAGCCTTAGGATGCTGAGGTTTTGACAGCTTGACTCATAACCATAAGGTGTAATCATGGAGTAGTTTATATTCTGCATGATGAAAATAAGCTTTGTAGCTTTCCAGAATATTTAAAGATCATTTATTTATTTTCAAATGTCAGCTTCTCCCTTGTATATTTAGTAAGAGTTCATTCACAGCATGCTATTCCTGGGCAGCCTTCTGGCTAACTAATGTATGGAAACTTAGGAGGTGGCTACATGATAAAGCCCCTAAGACCTTGGAAGGTGGTATTTTCCCAAAGCTGAGGTTCATTGCACCCTCAAGAAAAGCTGTTTTGTTGTCTGGCAGGCTGAGCCGGCTAATCTCCCTTTATTGTCCCTGTGCTTGGATTCCCAGCCTTTAAACAACATGGAGATCTGCACCAGTCCCTCAGAAAAAATAATTAGCTCAATTCAGAGGGTCAGAAAGAGCACGTTTTGAGTAAATGCGCCGCTTTTTAAAAATTCATCAGTAAAAGCTTTTGTTCCACCATATGAGCACTGATCTCAGTGTTCAGACAGCTTCAGGCACAAATGCACTTTCCCTCTGGAATGCTGGTTCTGGGGATTTCTGTAGAGATAAGAGCTGTCATGTTTATTGTTTTCTGCAGAGACACCAAAACGCCAGGGAGAAATGGTGAAAAAAGGATTCATTGAAGCTTGGCTACCAAAATAATTATTCAGAATGACACCTTATTAGCATTCTCTTCAGCCCAGTGTGTATATTCTGTGGTCTAGGCAGCCCTCCATACATGCATACAACTCCCACTAAGTCGAATAGGACTCACAGGGGCATATCCATGGGAAATACCCTGGATCTAGAGAGAGCCATGTCTCCTTTGGTGAGAACGTGATCTGGATGTTTCATAAATGACATTTTTCTCTGAGGCAACTTTTTCCTCTCAGTGGGTGGGGAGAATGGTTCATTCGGTGGGGAAGGAGCAAAAGAAATGTATCTTTCCCTGATTTGCTCACAATAGGACCAGTCCTTGTGACAGGAGCAAAGTTGAACTCTGTTCCCTGGGACATGCCCATGGGCAGTTGCATTAGAACAGCTCTTGTAGTGGGGGTGCTGAAATCCATTGAGCAAAGCTGTAAATCCTGTAGATGATGGAATCAAGCTGCGGGTGCTATTGCAACCACTGCACCCTTAGTTCCAGTACCCTGGCCCATGGATGTCTTTTCCTTCCCTTCTCAGAGGAATTCCTGATGAACGGAGGTCAACATTTTCATTCATATACCGCCTACAGGGCCGCTCATGGCTATAGAATTGGGCAGAAGCACTGTCTACTCTGTGATAGGGACTGAGTTTACTGCCTGCAGCAAGGACAGATCTATATGACCCCTGTTATGGTGTTCAGGCAGATGCAGGCATCATGGAAGAAGTCATTAACAATAAGTCTGTGGGGGAAGCCATTCCTCTCCTTTCTGCATGTACCACAGCTATACAAAGGCAGAGAGCACCAGTATGTAACTGAGACACATATACCAGGTATGGCCCAAGATTCACTGAATTGTCACCATTAAGTGACATTACTATCTCCCATTCAGCCAGAGCCATTGCCATTAAGTATACTTAGCCTTAAATGGTCTTTTGGGAGCTGCCCCGATTAAGTATGTCCCAATTAAATGGATTGGGCTGTTTCAAAGCATTTGGCTTGATGGTTTTTTTAGAAGGCTTGTAGGTACCAGATGATGATGTGAAATAAGAGGGGCGGTTACAGATTATGAGGGGTAAGTCATAGTCCCATGGGAGAGACGCTGCCAAGTCAAAATGCATCCATCAAGGTTCATAAATTCCCATTGCATTAGTGTCTGAACCTAGCGGCTATGGATTCCTTTGTTGCAGGGGAGCACTAGAGCACCATCCACTTCCGTTTTCTTTCCATAATGGGAAAATTCTGAAGATCTGCCCTCTGCAGCGCGAACAGGCCTGGGTGCTGAACATCAAGCGGGGCATTCTCAGTATGCTTCAGACCTCCCTTGTGGCTGCTGGCGGCGGATCCATTGAAGAGGTGTGTGTTGCTGAATGTCAGGGTGGTTTTAGCTTTCTCCTTTTTACATGATCAGAGGTGGCTGCCCCTTCATGGCCGGTCAGCAGCCTCTGATGGTCTCACTGTTTTTCCAAGTGGCCACATGACAAAACTGGCTCTTTTTGGCATTCTTGGTGGAAGTCCTAAAAGAGCTGGGTCAGCTACCACTATGCTACCCCCAGGCCATAGCTCCTTTTTGCTCTAGAGCAGAGCCGTGGAAGGAGACTTTGCCCAAAGAGTTGATACAGCACAAGTCCAGATTTCTCTCACCAGGGGCCTGATTCTGCACCCACTGAACTCAACAGGAGCATTGACATTGACTTCTAGGGGCTGTGAAATCAGGCCTCAAGGCTCTTAGCTGAGCATTAGTTGAACACTGTTTGCAAACATAAGGTCTAATTCTGCTCTTTTGTACTAATATAACTGGAATAACTTATGGAAATCAGGGTTTGTATGAGTGCAATACAGCCAAAAATCTCAATGGGGCTTATGTATATGCCTAATACTGAATATGTTAACACTGTCTTGAGTGAGAATGTGTTTTCTGAATCAGAGCTTAAGGTACAAAACAAATAAAACGATGCATTATAAAAATCTTTCATTTTGAAGTAAAACCCTCCTGCCTGACTTTTAAAATGCAAGATCATGTCATCAGGCCATTTTAAATGCATGTGCTTGGCCATGGTATCTGTGGCAAAGCCAATGAATTGAAAGAGGCAAATCAGTTCCCTGGGTCTTTGCTACTTCAGGAAAGCAAGTGTAATAAAGTGCTGTAATGAGGATAAAGTCTGTCCGTATTGTGTGTGAGTATATGTGAATAGGTTGCTTTATTGATTTTGTGTGTTTGTTACTAGATGGACATTCTGGGAAAATGCCCAACCAAATATCGGCGGAAAGGCCCTCTTATTTTGAAGACAAAAGACTTACATCTGTGTTCTCACCGGTATTCGGGTTTTATTTCCCCGAAATCCATAGCTCTGCCTGATGTACAGGTAAGTATTGAGGGATTTGTTGTGGTCCCATCAAAAGTCCTTGCTAATTTCTTGAAGTGATTAAAAAGCCTACTTATTTATAACCACATGCTGATGTCAAATATATTTAGTGATGTGTGCTTCTGCTTATCAAACTGTTTCTGATAATTTAAATAACAGTCACAATTACACTTTATATATTTCCATCCCTCCTCATATCCTCAGAAATAAGATCGCATTGCCAGGCTTTCTTCATCATTTAATGTGCAGGTTGGAAAATGTGTAGTCAACCTTTTGATAGATCTGTCTGAAGTTTTTTCTGGGAATCCATCTCCCTAGTGTTTAAGTAGCAGATAAGGCATCTGATTAGTATTTTTTATCCTCACTGTTCAATTATAAGTTCCAAGCCTCATTCATAACACACCATTCCACGTGTGAGGTGCGTGTAGTGGAAGGAGTTGTCTGGACTCCTGATTCAGTCTCTACATACACCTGGCTTTTCTACTATGTAATGTCTCTATGCAATTGATAAAGATCCTTTGAAATGGCAACACTTACATAACACAAATAGCAGACAGCTTTAAAACTGATTTTGAACTCTTCTGGCAATGAAGAAATGCATTTTAGGAAGTCATTAATCATATAACTGTTAGCAGTCAGTAAAGTATCGAAGGACTGGATTGGCTAAAACTCATGGGTTGGATAATACTCCCCCCTCCCACCCAAATATATGATGCTTAATGAGGTTGTTTAAAACTAAGATTGGAGGGAAAAATAGAAAGCTGTGGATGAAAAAAGGCTTGTGAGCTAAGTGTCATGTTTTTGGAAAAATCACTAAAAGTTTTTTTAAACTTAAGGCTTTTCCAAGCACAAATCGGTGTTCATGTCTTTTTTTACAAATGCTAGTAACAGAAATAAGTTATCTAAACCTACGGTACCAGCCAGCTGTCAACCACTTGACATGAATGGCTTTTTGTTGCATTCAGACCTTTGCTGGCAAAGTAGACCTGGTAAAGTAGGTGCGTTATGGAATAAAATGAAATGAGTTAAGTTCATAATGAAAGTTGGTGCAAGTTTCATTTCAGAAAAGGGAAATGCAGATTGGAAACTGGGACCTTATCCCTCTCCAGTCTCCTCTGCTGCAACTCCTAGAATGACACAGACCTGGAGTCCTCTGTGAAGTCTGTGTTCCCCAGAATGGATTGTGTGAATGAAAAGAGTTTCTCTGAAATGTTTGTTTCTCTCAGTCACAGCAGCAGATCCTATCCTCCAGACTGGAATGCGCCCAGAGCTTTAAGGATGGAATCTTGACAGAAGCCAAATGCACTGAATCCAGTCTTGTCACGCCTTTCTCTAGGAAGGGCACTGGGGCAAAGACACAGACACAGTCCTCATTGAAACTCCTGCAAGTGGAAGCAGGGGTGTTATACAGTACAGGTGAGTTGATGTTTCCAGTAATAGCAAATTAAAGTACTTTCCTGAGGAGTGGTGGGGAAAAAAAGTATTTATGTTGCCTCTTGCCGTCAGTCTGCTTGTAGGAACTCTCTTTGTACCAGATCTTTCCTTTCACGTGCTAAAAGGCATGGAATGGGATCTTGGGCTGTTGCCCATTGCCTGCTCTGGATCAGGGCCCTGAAGTTTTGTAGGCCTGGAAGAAAATGAGTTTCCAAAATGGTCAGGGTGGTATCCACACGTGACAGCTTGCAGATCTGATTTCCTCTTTGGACGACCTCTGCTCTGTGTCTTTCCCAACCCTTGACCTGCAGCACCAATTCAGGCCCTCAACAATGCACATAGTCCCCATGCAGTGGCAGAGTGTGATGCTTAGCTTTCTCTAGTGTATGGTGCCTAAAATATCATATTTTCCAATGGACTTTAAAGGACTATACCAAACAGAGATCCTGTTTCCATCAGTTTCTCATCTCCCTGGGCTTGTCTCCATTAGTAGAATGAATTTGGTGTAGTCAAAGGGAAGTTTGCCTGAGTAATGATTAAGGAGTGGATCTCTAAATGGTGAAACTTGTTATTTTGCTGGTGTGTATTTCTCTGTACATTATTTTTTAAATCCTAATTTCTCAGAATATTTATATGCTGACGTAAGATAAGATCCCCAGGGCTATGTCTACACTAGCGGGTTCTTGCAGAAGAACATCTTGTGCAAGGGTTCTTGTGCAAGAACACGTCCACACTACCAGGGCCGGATTAAGACTTTTAGAGGCCCTAAACACTGAAAAGATTATGGTGCCCCCATATGTAATTCAAAATAAAAACAATACTATACTGTAATATAAAATTTTATTTTTCGAAATGACACAAAACTGACATGTCTTCTGAAATTAAAATAGCTTCTTTCTAGATTTTCTGATTGCAAAATTCTGGAGACGTTCATCAAAGCTGACTTGACGAAGCACGTCCGCTTCCATACACAATAGGGAAAGTGAATCGAGTCTGTCCTGACATATTGTTGTTCTCTGAGGGTTTTATATTCTTTTCAGCTGAGAAAAAGAGCGTTCTGCGGCGTTCTGACTTTTCCCATGATGACAGCTTTGATGCTTTTTTTTGAAATATCAAAGTTTTTCAAAAAAAAATCTCTCTTTTTGGTGCCCCTGCTTTGCTGGTGCCCTAAGCATGTGCTTAGTCTGCTTATTGGATAATCCAGTCCTGCACACTACCATGTGCACAAGAGCATCCATGGCAGTGTGGATGCTCTCTTGTGCAAGAAAGCTCTGATGGCCATTTTAGCAATAGGGGTTTCTTGCACAAGAAACCCCAGCCGCGCGTCCACGCAGCCCTCTTGCGCAAGAGCTCTTGCGCAGGAGAGCTTAAACTTGTTAGAAAAGAGTGTACCTCTTGCTCAAGAATCCCTCTCTTCCCACACTTTACTGTAAATCTTCTTGCGCAAGAGCGGGCGGGCAGTGTGGACACTCTGTGGAAGAATGGTCATTCTTGCATAAGAACTCTCCAGTGTAGACATAGCCTAAGAGTTTACTGTATGCGTCCAAACATGTCTCTTTGGCACTCAGCATTCCAGTTGGGTTGACTGGGAGTTCAGAAGTGGAGGATTCGGCCATAAGCAGATGGGGCATGATGAAAACAGATGGGCAAGGTGTGAGGAGGAGCGTATGAAATGAACATGTGGTTTCTTTTTGTTCCATGTCTGTCTCGTTTGTTCCATATCTTTGAACAACTTTTTTTCTTGCTGGTTACATGCTCCTTCAGGCAATGTTCTTACACATGTGCTTAAATGTAAGTATGAGAATACATCTATTGATTTGAATGTAGCATCTTTATTAGAATGTTGCTGAACTGAAGCTGTAGATTTTGTCCTCACTGCTGAAAATAGGTGTGTTTTTACTGTAGTTTAACTAACACTTGTTAGCTGTCCTCTATACAATCCTAGTGGAGATAGTTTTTAATGTGAGCAGAGGGGCAGGGTCAGTGCTATAGTCTTCTGTATGGTTGGCCTTACTTAGCTTGCAAAACTACAGTGCCTACACTACACTAGCATTTTACACATTATTAATTATCCCTTCCACAGTAAAAACACACTTTTGGCAGTGAAGATGTAGCCTTGGTGCACACTATACCACTCTGGGATTTAGTATTAGTCACAGAAAATGGTCAATTGTTGCATGGTTAGTTTTTTGAATGTGTTTCTAGTGAACTCCAGTGATCTCTATGTGAGTAATCTGCTGTATGAACGAGAGGGAAATGAGAGGCCATCCACAGAAGAGGAGGTGGCTGAACTGGTGCGGAAGCTCTGCTTAGTACATGGCATGAGTTTTGAGGTAAGCCTTCTTCATACAACATCTGCCTCCTGTTCTTTAGAGGAGCAGGTGCTATGATGTGTTTCACACAAGTAATTCCTGACCCCCAGCAAGGCAGGTTAATATCCTAATGCTGTTATCCCTTTTAATCCTGCCATAGGAACAAAGCCTTGATAGGAAGGGTGTGAACTCATTTGAGATTCAGGGGGCATAGGATGATTTTCTTTCTCATTGTCATTAGGGTTGTAGTAAGCACTGAAAGGTCCCAGGCCCAGCTGTGCTAGGTGCTGTATAAAAAGAGGAAAATATGATCAGTGCTGTGGAAAATTTGCAACCTAAGTTGAATAACAAACAGGATATGAGTAACAGCGACAAGATTACAATGATTCATAGGTCACTTATTGCACACCTTGATGGTTCCTTACAGATCATTTGATATATTTTTTAAATATAGAAAGTTGGCTATTCCTGACTGCTGCTCAACCTACCCAATTTTAACTCCTGTTGACTCCTTGCAAGGTTGCATTTCTGCCCCTGTCACAGGTTTCCTTTGTAACTCTGGATAAATTACTCAAGCTTTCTGTGTCCCACTTATTCATCTTCATATAAGCTTCATAATATTTCCCTCCCTTAGTCCCTGGAAGAATTAATTGCAGCGTGTGTGAGAGGCTCGACTACTATGGCAATGAGTCTCATTGTAAAGCTATATAGGGTTAAATAGCGGGGGTTTTTATAGTGGAGTTGCCCAGTGTTTTTCATAGGATTGTGTTCAGTGTTCATGGTCATGATACATGCTTTTAAATTGTTACAGAATTATTCATGACATGTGAAGGGGAAATCTCGCTCCCCTGGGGTACAGAGCCCCCAGAAGGGTCCGAGGCCGGAGGTCAAATCAGTGAGGCAGGAGAGAAACCTAGAAGGGAAAACTTTATGATGCATGCATGCAGGCTGTCACTTCCAAGAGTGAAGCAGCAGCCCTGACAGACAGATTCAGGTATCCTTTATACAGAATGCTTAGACAGTTCAGTTGTGGATTGTTCTTCTTTAACATATCAAAGTCTCAGCAGAAGTACTCTGAGACTTCTGTTCACCCCAGGAGTGCTAGAAGTAAGTTTTTACAGTACACAAAGCCACATGAGAACTTGAGTGGAGGAGTCTACAAGGCAAACTGTGACAAAGATAAGGGTTTACATGACAAATTGTGACAGACTAGGAGTATCCATGAACTTGAGATAGTCATTCGTAAGGGTCTTTGATTAGAGTTAATTTGATTCTCTCTGTTACAGGGAGAGAGGCCTGGAAAACTTTTTAACCCTTACAGCAGTTTTCTTTCAGAGAGTTTTGATTTCTGCACAGTCCCCCCTTAGACACAATTGGAGTTATTTGATTTTTCTCCCACACATGTGACAGGAAAGACTCAAATATCTCTTCATAATTCTAGTCTAATGTAACCATATTGCAATTACTGAGCAAATGCTAACTCACTTTTAAGCAATCATAGAAAGGTGACGGCAGTTTCTTTTGTTTGTTGCAAAATGTCTAGTTTCTTACATCACACAGCTGGAAAATGATGATTGTTCAGCATATTAAATAAAAATACAGATTTGGGCCACATTAATCTCTGGCATAATTCTTTTGCATTCATTTGAGCTATACCAGAGTTGAATTTTAGCTCAATTTGTTGTTTCAAAACTCTTTGGGGAGACAAAGAGGAGAGACGGTGGTGTGCTGTAGCTACCTTTCAAGTCAGTTCAGTGTGAGTTTCCACATGGTATGTAGCTGGGGACCCAAAGCCCAATGTTTGGATTATCAGTTAACATTGTTCAAAAACACAGGCTGCTGGGTCTGAGTAAAGTGATCTGGTGTCAAGAGACTCTTACAACCTCCAAGAATCTATACTATTATAAAAGGAGAGGTGTCCGTCTGTCACAGAGAACATTTGAGAATACATTGGAAGACTTGAGAAGTGGGGGTCTGGGTTGGGCACTCCAGTGGCCTAATGGCTTGGGCCTTAGTCTCCAGAATTTGGGGTTGTGGGTTCAAGTCTTGCCTCAGGAGCTACTGGGTAGCTCCCTCTAACTGAGGATAGTGAGGTGAATTACCAGCTTCACAGGGCTGGAGCTGATAAGGCTAAGCAGCTGACTGCAGGCAGCAGAGGGCCCCTGTGTTTTCCCCTTCAAGGGGCCATAATCTGTTAGCTATGATCCTACACACCCCGGCCTCTCTGTTAGACTGGCATGGGTTAGTATCAGTGGGAAATGCAGAGAACATTGTGATGCCTTTCATGTAAGACACTGAGCTGTCAATAGATGATGTCAGATCATTACTAACCTGAGCTGACTTTATAGCAGTGACCTGAAAGAGAGAGGATCCATATCCCATTATCCTGCAGGTAAAATGTTTTGTTGACAATAAAAAAAGTGTTTCAAAGCAGAACAACAAGAACAAATAGATGTGGGAACAGAAGGCTGTGCTTGTTGCTTGAATGTTATTCATGTTAAACGTACAGCAAGAGAAGCAGCATGGTGTAGACTAGGGGATAAGGCTGATCTGTGTGAAATACCTGGTTTGGCCACTGACCTGCTGTGTGACCTTGAAGAAGTCACTTGTGCCTCAGTTTCCCTTACCATCTTTTTTAGAATAACTCTTTGGAGCAGGGATTGTCTCAATTAATATGTGTATATAAAGATCTTAGAACAATGGGACCTTGGTCTCCATTGAGGGGCTCCAGATTATAGGGTTGGAAGAGACCTTTGGAGGTCATTGAGTCCAGTCCCCTGCTAAAATCAGGACCAACCCCAACTAACCATCCCAGTCAGGCCTTGGACAAACTGGGACTTAAAAACCTTTGTGGATGGAGATTCCATCATCTCCCTAGGTAACCCATTCTATGCTTCACCTCCCTCTTAGTGAAATAGTTTTCCTAATAGCTAACCTAGACCTCCCGCACTGTAACTTGAGACCATTACTCCTCATTCTGGCATCTGTCACCACTGAGAACAGCCTCTCTCCATCCTCTTTGAAACTCTCCTTTGAGTAGTTAAAGACTGCTATCAAATGCCCCCTCATTCTTCTCTTCGATGGGCTAAATAAGCCCAAATCCTCAGCCTCTCCTCATAAGTTAATTGCTGTAGCCCCCTAATAATTTTTGTTGCCCTCTAGATTCCAATGCATCCATAACCTTTCTGTAATGGGAGGGGGGCAGAATTGAACATGATACTCCAGATGTGGCCTCCCCAGTGCCAAATAAAGGGTGTTATGCTTAAACGATGCACATGAGATCTTTTATAGGGGAAAAGGCAGTACACCGCATTTATTGAGAATACAACAGCTGCATATGCTTTTCAATTACACACACACACGACATCATGCATGCACAGTTCTGCCAGATGATATCATGGTTATCAGTCCAAAGTCTGTGTCAATCTAGTGGCCAGCTAGATCGAGCACAGGGGGGAGCAGAGCCTTGTTGGTCGATCGATCCAATACTCTTCTCAAGACAGTGGCAGACGAACCCAAGTTCCATAGCAAAGCACCCTGCTTTTTATAATTCGTTTTCCTGTTGAAATCAATATATTCCACTGTGTCATTCTGTGACCGGAATGTTATCTTTTTGATGTGAGTGTTCCCAAAACATCTCTCCAAGGCTCATCCTATAATCAATTGTCCTTTCGGGGTGCTTGCTCCACTTTAAAGTCGTCAGTCTGCCAATTAGCCAATCTTCTTGTCAGTAGGGGGCATACATCGATGGTTATAGATGGCTCCTCTGCAGTCAGGTTATCTGTCCTCTGGCCTTTGCCCACTCTTGCTAACCCCCTTTCTTTGGCCATCTGGTTCTAAGCAACATAACTTTGCATCTTATCTCGACACATTCACACTCCTCTCACACACATGAGCAATGTTACAAGGACTTTCGAGGTTACAGATCTGCAATTGTAAATCAAGCAATTAAGGCTTTGGCCTTGCACATTAGCAGAATTCTTCTAATCTTATTAACACAGCCACAATACCCAGAATCATTTTTCTACTTTAGGACATTTACCAAACTTCAGAACAAAGAAAATAGACCTTCAACTGAAAGGACTTAATTTGAAAATGTTAAATGTATGTTAATATATATACCTTATATTACTAAACCTAAAATAAGAAATATAAAAAGAATAAAACTTTCAATTCTAACAAGGGGAATAATCAGTTCCCTAGGTCTGCTGGCAATGCTCCGACTAATGTACCAGCTTGATACCAACCGCCAACCAGATACTGAGTGTTGATCTCTACCCATTGAGCCCAACCTTGTGGCCAGCTTTCTATCCAGCTTATAGTCCATTTATCCAATCCATACTACTTTAAGTTGTTTGCAATAATATTGTAGCAAACCGTATCAAAAACTATCAAATGCAATAGAATACAATCAGCAACATTTGGGTTGAAATGTAACCCTGGAAAGCAAAACCTTCTGGCTCACTTAAGCCCAATTAACCCCCAGTTCTGTTCCCCACCCTCCATAGATGAGGAGGGTCCCTGGTAAAAGGGGGGGGGGGTTGAATGGAAGGCATGTGTACTGCCCAGAAGTTGTGGTGCCTGCTCTGCAGGGGATTGCTGCCTGTTGTTTTAATATAAGTCTATAAACTCTTGTCTGGAAAGTGGACCTCTCAGTCAGTAGTTGGTTCTGGGCAGTGGTTAATGAGATGACAGGGTGAGTATAAGTGTTTGTTCTGTGTGGCATGAGACTCAGGGGAAAGGGCTGGGGAAAGAGGTCACAGTTACCGCAACTGGAACATGGGGTCTCCAAGTCAATCGTGCTATGTTACAAACTCACCAGTTACTCCTAGCCTATTAGCTGACCATGATAGTTTGACCCTTGTATCACAGACCAACACAGGACAGTGAGTAAGGGCAGGCCTGGAGTGAAGGAAGGAAGAACTGCCTGGATCTCCCTTGGAATGATAGAAAGCTCCCTTTTTGAGTATTAGGTAGTTTGCTTCCCATTTAGCTGAATAGCAGGGAGCCAAGTGTGGCTA